GAAGTTAAAAGTGTTCACACACATCTTTTAAACAATTATAAAACTTTGTCCAGTGGATATTACTATATGGGTGAGAGAACAGTTTGGTTGAGGTGTGGGTATAATTATCTCCACTTAACAGGTAATTAACCAGAGGCTGACCAGGGTTGTGATACTGCAAGATAGAACATACATGAGGAGGCATCACAGCCAGACCTCAAACAGTTATAATTTTTTATAAATTATAAAGAACTCTCAAATATATAGTGAGTATGTGTCAAAGCTTTATTTAACTCATTAACAAGGGGACCAACGGAAAGACAAAGTTGGTTCAAAGTACATGAGAAACACACAGAGTGAGAAAAAAGAATGCTGTAGTGAAGACTATATGGATATAAAACTGGATAATGCCCCACAAGGCAAGAAAATCGTAACTCTTGCACTTGCCATTTCTACCGAACAGAAATCCTTTGCAACTTATCAATCATCTTCTAAGTTTACACCTAATTTTAGAGGGACTGGGTCCTACTTAATAAGTAGTAAGTCAAAGTTATCTCCTCTGGAGCAGCAAACGTTTACTGTAAAGGGCCAAATAGCAAATATTTCAGGCGTTATAGGCCATTTGGTCTCTCACATGACCACTCAACTCTGCTGCTGTAGCTTGAAAGCAGCCACAGGCAGTAAGTAATGAAGAAACATGACTTTGTTCTCGTAAAACTTTATTTATATAAAGCAGGTGGTAGACTAGCTTTGACCCACAGGACATAACTTGCCAACTCCCCAGACCTAAAACATCAGATGATCCTTAGGTGAGATAATCCTCCAAGCACAACTTTGAAGAGACCCACAATAACCTTTTTATTTCCAAGTTTCATATAATTTTTTAAACAGTCCCTAGGTCTTCAAACAACAAATCCCATGCTTCTCGCCAACCCCACCACCACCGCCCCTTCTAAGAGTTTACTTTGCTATCTGAGGCGCATTCAGTCTTTGGACTTCAATTAAAAACAAATTAAGACTCCATAAAAGAGAACATTAAAACGAAACTACTAAGAGTGTTTCTCGATATTTCTGTCTTTGGCTTATGGGTTTGAGAAAATATTCTGTGAACTACCTATCCCTTTTCCACTACCTTGAGGAATCTTCATCAGGACCAATGGGAAGCCCTATGCTGAGGAGAAGTCACAGAGGGCTATCAGAAATACATAATGCCAGATCCTTTCACGATGACAAAGCACCCTTTTGGAGGCTTGGTCATGGCAGTGTCCCATGATTCGAGGGGATGGAGTCCATGTACCACCCATAGGATGTCAGCACTCAGATATCAAGGACCAACAACCTGCAAGATCTAAGACCAGAAGGAGGACCTGCATTCAGCTCACTGAAAAACTTTCATCTAAGATACATTTTTTAAAAATGACAAATTGAACATAGTTTTTTTAAATATAGTAGAAATTACTTGATCTCTCAGGAAAACATTTTTATGTATCCTGACTCCTGTTAGGGTGGAGTTAAGATGTAGGCTCAGAATATAGGCCTATATTGAGCCTATCTCATGTAGTCTTATCCATAACAGATGACTGCCACAGAGCAAAATGTTAGAAGCATATTCCTTACAAGACCAGGTTTTAATTAATTCAAATATGAACTGTAGGTTAAACGCCATGATAAACACTGTAGTTACAAAGTTGAACACAACCCAGTCCTCACTCTTAATAAGCTTAATCTATCAAGGAGAAATGTAGTGAATGCCAACTGTGCTTTATGTAATATCATATAACGCACATGTCGCAAATGCTATAAAGGGCAATCTGAGGCAAAGTACTGGGACAGACGAGAGAGTGATAAAGACTACTGGGGTAAATCAAGCTGAATGTTAATGATTTCAGAAACAGCTAGTAGACAGAGGGAGCCAGAAAGCCACAATGGCTCTGCTTAATTTTATATTATTATCAAGTCTAAAAATTAAATGACAAATAATACATCCAGATAAGATAAACAAATGGGAATCAAAAAGAAAAAGAACTAAGACGTTGATTAGACAATTTATTACTAACACCTTTTGCAGCAGTAATGCCTCTCTGTAAAGATCTTTCCCGTCAACTTCTCTCCTGAGTTGCTTCTGGTAGATTTAAACTATCTCTTAACTCCCAGTTTCTGTTCTGTTACAGCCACATTTATTGTGTCTGCAAGTGATCATGCCTTCCTCCTTCCAGCTGGTTTTCTAATGTTTCAGTTTCTAGAAACATATAAACAGAAAAAAAATCTGATAAAAATGTTATGTGATGTGTTGACACATTAAAAGAACCCTGTTGTTGCTTAACCAAGATCTTATTTCTATTTTTAAATATTTCTCTAATAGGAAACAAAGTTTATACGTAATGTTTGAATGTCTTTGAATGGTTTACACTTAGAATAAAGTTTCATATGCTATTTTTTTTTTGAAATATACATACAACACGTAATTTCTATATTTTAATTTATAAAGTGGTTATCTTATAAATAAGAGAGCCATCTAACAAATTCTGATCCAAATTGTGGTTTACTATAAAATTTCGGGTACTTTCAGGGAAGAAAACACAATTAAAAGAGTTGTAAAAAGGAAGAAAAAGAAAACATGGGAAAACATAATGAATCTAAGATTTCCTTAGAAAACAATCTTTCAAATGACATGTAATTGTTCTAATAAATGCTGAATGACCACTATAGAAACAACATGGATTACCATCTGATACTTAATAGTCATAAAGAAAACAAGAAAACTGTCCTTTAAGATGAAAATTAGATAATATTTTCACAGTGAAAGTTAGGCAAAAGATTTTGGAAATTCTTAGACTGGTTCACCTAAAAAACTAATCCAGCAGTTATGAATTATTTATGTAATTACAGGTTGATTTTATCTGTGAAAACCATATACAGTATAAAATATTAGCACATAACCAACAATTATATACTTTATCAAAAAAAGATGCTTTTCTTGAAGGCAAAATGACAGAGAAACGTAAATTAAAATTACATAACATTGAAAGGGAGCCCACCATTATTGCCTGATTTAAATCAAGTGTCAAGAAGAAAACTGTTGGAAGTTACAGAATAAAACAAATGAACCATCATCATAATAAAAAAGATATGAAAATCAAAACGCAAGAGTAATCTATCTCTTTAAAAAGTTTAGAAAACTGTTAAAAGGCCAATTTTCAAAGGTAATAATGTGCCACTAAGCTAACCTGAAAATTATGGTTACTGTGGTAGTTTTAAAACATGTCTGCAAATTCTGACACCCCTTGTATCAAATGATGGGCCAGGCTTAGTTCCTCACTTCTAAATGAAAAAGTCAGAAGTGATATTGTGTGACTTCCATGACTAGGTCATTAAAAGGATATGGTTTCTGCCTGACATGCAAGCTTTCTCAGGGTGCTGGCTCTTAGAACCCAGCTACCACACTGTGAGAAAACCCAGGTCACATGGAGAGGGCCGCATGAGGGTGTTCCAGTCAAAAGCTTCTGATAGACCCTCAGTTGACGCCAGCATCAATATGCCAGTACATGACAGAACCATCAGTTTTCAGATAACTGCTGCAACTGGCCTTTAAGTCTTGTAGCTCAGGCCCCAGACACTGTGGAGTGGTGATGACCCATCTCTGCTCTGCACTCTTTGAACTCTTGACCCATAGAAACTGTCTGAGACAATAAAAGATTATTGTTTCAAGCCACTAAATTTTAGGGTAATTCGTTTTTCAGCAACAGATAACTAATACTGTTACCTAGAATGTACACCCTATTAAACATCAAAGAATTTGTTTTTCAAACTTAAAAAAGAATCTTTATACAAACCGATTATAGGATATATCCTCCACTTAAGTTTAGTAGGTTTTATTTAAGTAATAACATTAAACTTCAATCAATATGAACTTTTCTAACTTGAAATCTGAGACAATTAGACTCTAAATTTTAGAGTGTTTAAACTGAATGTCATCATTAAAGTTGTGGAAAAGAGAGTGTAGGTAACCTACGAAAGTATACAGGAGAATATTGATGCTAATTACGAGAACAAATTGTTTTAAAGTAAAGTAAAGCACCCTCCACATAAAAAGCACTTGAGAGCTATTAAATGTCAAATGAATATCAGAAGCCCTAAATTCTCCCCAATCACTTTTTACATATTAATTAGTTTAAAAGTATTCTATTTGGCAAATTGGTCAGTTTAGTTCAAGCAAATTATTTGTGCATTCATATATTTTATCTTTTCCTAATAAAAGGAGAGCTCCCTGAGGGCATTCCTTATCTCATTCATCTCTGCATTCCCCAATGAACATAACATAAAATTGTAGGACAAATACTTTAAGTCTTAACAAATATTTGTGCAAATGATCAAACTTTATAGATGTACCTGAAGCTAACTCAAGGGTCTCACAGTTCACTTTTTCTTTTTTCTAATTTGTTCTGCCCTTCCCCACGATTAGGCCAAGCTAGTTGATGTTTTATTATACTTCCGAGAGCATACTTCGTACCCTTTATTATCATTTACCAATTTATTCAGAGTAAAAATAAAGATACAAATGTTTGCCATGAGTACTGGTCTTCTGCGATGTTCAAGCCATTCCCTCATCTCCGGGACTATGCTTGCTGCCAAGTTTGCTGCACATCGTGCAGCTCTGTTCTTATGGGAGGGAAGGGGATGGCACTCTCGCCCAGCTGCGCAATGCAGAAGACTGTTTGTTCATTTCCTTCTGCAGCGCAGGACAGAGAACACCTAATCTGTAAGATTTCCATTCTGTTACAGGCAGAGGTTTATATATTAGCATTATTTTTAAAAGTTACAAAGACAAACCATTCTGCCTAAGATAGAAATTATTAAATAAAGATATGTAATTTTTTATTCCTCCAGTTTAGTCAAAACTGAGACCAAACTTCTTTGAGTGTTATATTGCCTGTGCTCACATTTATACTTTTCACTGAATAAAAATTATGAAATAATTATTTGTAAGGTAGTAACTTTGAAATTAAGCAGTTCAAAAGAAATTATTTTTTCCATAAGCATTCACATTTAATAACTACTATAAATTAAGATATTCATAATTTGTCAATCTGAACATATAATTTGTATTAACAAAATGTGGTTCCAGTATAGATTTTCTAATTCACTGCATGGTCCTAGATAAGCCATTCTGGATCTCTGCCTTCACCTACATATTATACGGATAATAAAACCTTTTTTAATCTACATTATAGGCAAATAGGCATTAAGATTTATGTGAAAACATTTTGCTAAAGTTGCTAAACAAACATACGGTAAAACATATAATGTTTTATCATATTAACTATTTTCTAATATTTAATTTGCTTTTTATAATTTAACAAAAATAAAGATTGCATACTTTCAGACCTACAAAATTCATTAGCTATACAAGGTGGATTAAGTAGTAAAGCTAGTCATAATAGTAAACCCATTCATATATGTTCTCAATTACATTAAGAAATAATAATTATAAAAATAGGTAAAATTTTGTGAAAATATTCCTATTTACTCTGCCTTAGGAGTTCTTGCCCACATCAATGGACTGTCTGACATCGGCCATGGCATCAGGTACTTGAACAGTCATATTGTCCATAAATTTTGTCAGACAGATTTGGCAGCCCAACCGAGATCTGTATAAAAAAAGAGGGAGGTACGGTTTAGTATTAAGTATATAATATTCACAAAATAATGCAGTTGTTTAGTACATTTTCTTACCCAAAGCATTTAGGAATTTATTTACCTTTTAAATTTCCATTAAGTAGAAAAAGATACATTCAGTTCTTACTTAGAGGGCAAAAAAATGTAAACATGAAAAAAAAAAAGCCTAGTGAGCCAAAACTTCATTTTAGTCCTTAGTTTCTATCACTAACTGTTTCACCAGAACTACTGCTTTTTTGGTGAAAGGGCTGACAAACAATGAAATAATCGAAAGCACAACAGTGGAGAAAAGAACTGAAGTTTTAGCAATGGCAAGAAAATGATAATCAATTCCCAGATAATTATAACCATACAGATTTTATAAAAAGCCACACTTTTAAAATTCTTTAAATAAAAAAAATTTGGAATATAGATGTCATCAATTATCAGATGCCTATCTTCCTTCACATTTTTAACATCTCTAAAATCAAGATACATCTTAAAATAAACTGCATCATAAAATCACTGAAGGTAGCAGTCATATTAGAGCTGCAAACTTGGTTACAATATTCATATAGATGTCTCTTCAAATGAGTTATGACAAGTTAATACTACATGTATTGAATTTAACTACCAGTCAAAATAAGTCCAAAAAGATTACAAGACAAAAAATTAAGAATACAGAAACACAGCAGCGTGTAAATTTGATATTTATAAATATAATTCTATTTTCTATTTTTTTCAGAATTACCAATCTTATTTATATTTTCCTTTTTTAACAGTCATGTATAAATATATGTCTGTAATTCAAATTACAATATTCATATAGATGTCTCTTCAAATGAGTTATGAGAAGTTAATACTACATGTATTGAATTTAACTACCAGTCAAAATAAGTCCAAAAAGATTACAAAACAAAAAATTAAGAATACAGAAACACAGCAGCGTGTAAATTTGATATTTATAAATATAATTCTATTTTCTATTTTTTTCAGAATTACCAATCTTATTTATATTTTCCTTTTTTAACAGTCATGTATAAATATATGTCTAGGTAATTCAAAATAGCACTTTTCCTATGCACAAAAAAGGTTAGGTGATAACTTTGTGCCATATTTTTATTAGCAGTGCTTTTTTCTTAGTGGCACATAAAAATAACTGTCAGTCTTACCATCAAATTGTCTTCAATCTGATGGAATGTAATATGAAGATCTTGACTTCATTAACGTATTCATCGAGGATTTACTAAGCATAAAGGCACAGTACTAAATGTTCAGTGAGGGTACAAAAGATAGCAACTTATTTCAATCCTTTTGAACACCTCTTACATGCTGGGCACCAGGGATGCAATAAGGAGAAGAAGCAGGGGGTTAGAGCCTTAGAGCCAAAAAAAGCAGTGGTCCAGAATCCAGCCTGAACATGGTGTGTTCATAGGCAACTTTCTTAACCCCTACCCCCCCAATACTAGTTTCCTAACCTCACCCTAGGGATGTATAATAAGCAGGTTCCTCAATGGACTGCTGTTAAGAATTAGTTGCTAATATCAGTATTAAGGAGATATGAGACACATTCTCAGACAATGAATATGTGAGCTTATGACGAATGTCACAGAGAGAGAAAGCCAAAAGGTCTAAGGAGAAAGCCCTTCTGTCCAGGGGATGTGGTATTTAGATAGGCACTAAACAGTGGTTAGAATTGACTATTTAATAAAAGATGAAGGAGAAAGGCATTTGAGGCAAAGGTAATATGATTTAAGACATGTTTGAGGCAATATGGCTTTTAGCTTGGCTGCTGTGCTAGATGGGCTAGGAAGATGGCCAGGCCACAGACAGCTCTGAACACCAATGAAGGAGTTCAGGTTTTAATTGGAGAGCAATGAGGAACCACTGGGAAGTTTCTGAGTAAGGGAGTAAGTATAATCATGGGAAATATTGATTGATAATAGAAAAAAAAAAAAATCCTCTCCCACCAATGGCTCCTATTTGTTGAATTAGAAACAGCCTTGACAATATTCAAATATGCATTAAGCTCTGTCTGTAACATAGAAAATGAGGCAAGCCAATTTAGACCAATTCATTAGCACTGTGGTGAGCCCTAGAGACAGTTGGTTATTCTTGGTGTCCATATAAAGGTAAGTAGAATAATGCTAGTCTTCAAGAAATTTTTACTTTACTAAGAGAAACAGATGGAAAAAGGTGTCAGTGAAACAGGGCAGATTACAGTAAGTGTAGCAACAGAAGAACAAAAAGTGTTATGGGAACATGAAGAGGGGTGGCACTGAGAGCCTCTGCGGGCTCTATGACCCTAGAAGACAAGGAACTGGCACTCTGTGGCTATTTTCTCACTCTCTCACTTCTCTACCTCCTTAAGATCTCTGGCTTTAAGGTCTACCCAGTGTATAAAGTATCTTACACCTCTAGAGAAGGAGGCAGACAGCAACTCTTCCTTGACCTCACTATTTGTCCCATGAAATTCTGACATGTGTGCAAACCTTGAAGATATTTTCTCCGGTCACCCTTGTCATATATACCTGATAATGGAAATATACTAGATGTTCTATTTACTTTACTTCTAAGGTTTGTTTTCAATTCATAGAAACAGCTTGAAATAGTAAAAAAGAAAAAAAAAAAAAATCAAGGCTTTGGGGTCAAACATAGATGATTCAATCAGGAATCTGTCATTCTGTAGCTGTGTATCCTTGAGCAAATTTCTAATAATTAAACCTTGTTTTCCTACTTACAAAATAGTAATAATACTGCCTAACAGTTACAGTTAGAAATCATCTTTGTTAAGTGCTTATGCATTATAGTATCTGACATATGAATTTACATGATTATAGTTATAATGTTAACAACTCTTATTTAATAAATGCTTTCTGCACCAGGCACAGCTCTAAGAGCCTCACACAAAAGCCCTATGAAGTAGCTACTATCATCATCCTCATCTTACAAATATAGAAACTGAGGCCTCTGGTAGATTATCCATGGCAACTGGTGGCAGCAAGCAGTAACGATCACCAAATATAGACTCACAGACAATTCCTGAGTATCTCCTTCTACCAACCATTAATTCCACAAATAGTCGGTGATGTCCTATTGTAAATCAGGCACTAGAGATACAATGATAGAATAAGACATGGTCTCTGCTCTAAATAACCAGTACAATAAGTGCCTTATGAGCCCATGTACCAACAATCCATCAATAATAAAGGTTAAGAAAACTCTGTAATAAACATTAAAATGATGTTTTATCTTAAAAGTTAAAGATATTTTTATAGCATTTAACTTTAAAATAAATGTAGGAACTGAAAGACTGAATGTCCTTGTTTCTCTCTTCTTTCTTTGGAACTGCATGGTACCCTAGAAATAGGAGTTTACATGAAATTATTACCTTTGAACAAAATTATTTTCATTCCAAATATGTCAAATTGTTTT